CGAACGCAGCGCGCACAGCGCACCCATCCCGCTGCTGCATACAGCCGCCGCTGCCGCCCCCCACCCGACACGCCGGTGGCGGAGCAGTAGACGAAGCGCGCGCGGGGCAGCATCGCCTGCAGCTCCAGCACGCAGGTGGACACCCGGGTGCTCTGCTTCTCCTTGCCGGGGACGTGGTTCTTGGCTGCGGGGTGGCGGGTGGGGGGTAGGGTAGGCAGCAGGGCGGGGCGTGAGCAGGCGGGGGCTGGCGGCACCCAGGCGCGGTGTGAGCCCGCCCCAGGCCCCATGCCAGCACCGAGCCCCAAGCGGCAGTGAGCGGGAGACTGGCGGGCACCCCACCTTTGTGGCACTCATCCAGCACGATGGGCCCATCAAAGGCGCCCCCCCCCACCCAGTCCACCACCTGCTGCAGCCGCGACTTGCCCTTCACGTTGCTGATGAGGGTGGAGTAGGTGCTGCAAGGGGCGGGGCGGGAGGCAGCGGGCGGCAGATGGCGACGCAGGAGCACGCGCAGGCCGGCGGCGGCAGCCCGGGGTGGTGCCGGCTGTGTCCATGAGCTCGCGAGGGCGGGGCGTGCGCCCAGCTCTGGCGTTCCAGCACATGGCAGCCCCATGCAGACACACAGCAGCAGCGGGGCATGGCGGCGGCGGCGGCGCACGGCTCACAGGAACAGGCAGCCCTCCTGCGGAGTGCTGTTGGCCCTGTCCAGCGCCTGCGCATTCTGGATGACCTGCGGGCGGGGCAGGCAGGGGCAACCAGAGGAACCGGTCGGCGAGCCGGCTGGCGGGCGAGGCGGCGCCGCCGGCTGCCTGCCTGGCTGCCTGTCGGCTGCATGCCTGCTCGGCTGCCTGCCGTGTCGCCGGCCACCCCATGCCTTGCCTGGATGTGTGAGCCCAGGTCTCGCAGGTCGCGGGTGGCGTCTGCATACAGGTCTGTGCTGGTGGACACCCAGACCGACTTGCGCCTGCCACGGGCGTAGTTGTCCAGTATGATGCCGCCGATCTGCCGCCCCTTGCCCACACCCGCGCCATCCCCTGTGCGCCGTGGGGCAGGACGGGACGCAGGCGACGGAGTGGCTGGGCTGGGAAGCAGGCCAACGCACAAGGCAGGGTGCGGCGAGGCCTTCCGCCACCCGGCCGTGGGGCCATCATGGCAGCCCAGCCCGGGAGCTCACCGATGAAGAAGCCGCAGCGCTCTCCCGAGGGCAGCCAGGTGAGGTGCTTGGTGCACTGCAGGCAGGTGGCGGCAGCAAGGCGAGCGGTCGGCTGCTCCCGTGGGGATGGCGCCTGCTGGCGGCCCAGCGAGGCTCCGAGGCGGCGTGCACCCGACAAGGCTCACCGCATACAGCACGCCCTCCAGCTGCAGGCAGCTCAGCTTGCCGGCGGCCGCCACGCCGCCCAGCGCGTCCCACAGCGGGTAGTCCGAGGGCGGCAGCGGGATGGCCGACAGGCTGGAGGGCTCGGCGATGTCGCCGGGGTGCGGGTGGCCGTGCCGCGCGGCCGCGGAGCGGCACTCGTAGACGGAGAAGATGTCTTTGCTGGTCTGCTCCGCCACCGTCTCCACAAACTCCCCGGCATCCAGGGCCGCAGTGACCTCGCCAGCAGGGGCCGCCATCGTGCGGCCGCCCTCAGGCCCCTGCCACAGTCGAGAAGGATGGCAGTGTTGGCGGCAGCGGCGGCGGCAGAGGCGGCGGGCGGAAGCCATTGGGGCGGCTGCAGCCTTGCCCGCCTGCTTCCTGGCTGCCCGAAATACAGTGCGCTGCACTCGGGTGGCGCCTGGCAGGGTTGGTAGGCCCCAGAAGGCGGTGAAAGGTTTTCGCAGGGACGTCATGTGTGGCGCTGAGCTCACTTTGCGGTTCAGACGCCAGTACCCCGCTCAAGCAGGGCCACAGCCAACGCTCCAGGTCCAATCACAGAGGGTGTGGACATGGCAGGTTTGAGTGGGCCCGACCTTGGCTCCCAGTGGCCTAGCAGCACTGATAATGCAGGTGACTTGACTGAAACAATGTGAGGAACAGCCCGGCTGCCTTCACATGCCGACTGTCGATCAAGCAGGCCGCCACCTGGCGCCGCCAACCCGCAGCCGGAGACAGACGCCCACAGTTTTCAGCAATCCAATTAACGCGAGAAACAAGCACAACACACAGGCATGCCTCCAGACATGCAAAATGAAACCACTGGCCCGCTTTCGGTCAGCTGCGCCGCACCCGCCGCAGGGGCGCGGCTCCACTGCTCCCGCCAGTTGCCGCCACGTCTGCCGAGCCTCTGCGGGCCCGCCTGCCTCGCCCCTGCCGCCGCTCTGCAGCGCCCTTTGGCGCCGGCTGATTGCGCTCTCCCACATCATCCACCGCCATTGCCTCGACAGCATCGTCAGACTGGCTGGCACGCCGACCAGCAGCTGCCCTGCGCTTGGCCGGGCCGCCGCCCGCCGCGGCACCAGCCTCGACATCGCCGCTGGGCCCCCGCTTGCGGGATGCCGGCACGGCTGCTGCCTGGCGTGCAGGGGGTGGCTGGTATGGGCGGCCACCAGCCGCCGCCTTTGTGCCAGCCTTGCCGGCGGGCGTGGCCACAGCGCCCGGTGACGCGCCCCAGGCTGCAGGGGCCACGGAAGCCAGCTGGGCCTTGCCGTAGCCAAAGCCCCCCCTGCCCTGCTGCGCCTGCTCCTCCTCCTCACCATCATCATCATCACTGGCCTCTGCCACTGCCTCCAGCCAGCCGCGGGCAACCGGGGCTGCCCTGCCAGCCGCAGATGGCACCAGCTGGCCGCCACCAGCCTCGCCTCCATCCAGCATCGATGGCAGAGCCCCTCGACCCTGGCTCCCGTGGACGGCAGCAGCGACTGCCGCAGGCTGCTTGCCGCCAGGGGCTGCCTTGCCGCTGCCGCGCGGCGCGCCCGTGCCTGCACTCCCCAGCATCGCCGCCAGCTCCACCCTCTGCCTGCTGATCAGGGACAGGAACTCGTTGTGCCGCCGCCGCTGGTCCTCCTCCAGCTGGCGCAGCAGCCTGCGCCCAGGTGGGGCAGGCAGAGGCTGCCGGAGCTTCGAGCCACAAGCACTTGTGGGGGGAGCACTGACCCACTGTCCTGCCTCGGCATGCGAGTTAGTTGCACCAAGCTCCAGCTGCGCCAAGCTGCCCACCCTCCCACCAGGCTCGCACCTGTAGCTCTCCCGCTCAAAGTCGCGGTAAGAGAGCAGGCAGAAGAGCAGAATGACCGTGCCCAGCGCCACTGCCGCCCAGCGCACCGTCCACTTGAAGTTGAGGCGCAGTGGGGAGGCCGGCATGCTGGGCAGCCGCGACAGCCAGGCCGGCAGGGGCAGGCTCATCACAATCTACAGAGAGCGGGGCAGCCAGCAGCAAGTGGTGGGGCGTCAGTGGTGCCGTTTTGGGCTCAGCAAGCAGCCAGGAGCACAGGCTGTGGCCCTGCAATCACTCAGCTACCAGCAGCGCGGGTGGGCGGCCCACCTCGCCCGCCTCGTCAATGTCCAGCAGGAGGTGCAGGCGGTCCAGCAGCAGGCGCTCACCCAGCAGGCTCGCGCCCATCACCGCCATCACCGGCACTTTGGCCTGCGCAAGGCGCGGCAGGGGTCAGCAGGGAGGCTTCAGAGAGGCTCAAGAGCCAGCTGGCGAGGCCACATGCCCAAGCCGGGCAGCCTGACACACACCGGCGCGGGCTGCGACCCACCCGTGCGGTGGCGGGGCTGGTGCCCGCCGCCATGGCTGCCAGCAGGCCGGCGGCGTAGAAGGCCGCATCCTCCAGCCGGTAGCTCCGTCCCAGCAGCCGCATGAGCACGGAGTCGGAGCGCTGCTGGTAGCCGATGACCACATCCACTGCCGACCGTATGCTGCGGCTGCTGTCCAGCAGGCCGCCCAGCTCCCCCGCCAGCTGGCGCTGCGCCTCGGCCTGCCGCCCCGCCGCCGCCGCCAGGTCCGCCGCGCGGCCCTCCACCAGCTCAAACAGGCCGCCCATGTGCCCCTCCGCCTCCTCCAGCAGCCGCAGCGTGGCCGCCTGCCCCACCTCCAGCGCCTGCTGCCGCTTGATGGCCGCATCCTGCGCAGCAACAGGGAGGCAGCAGGCGCGAGGAAGCAGGCCGGCCTGCTACGTTCAGCGGCAGACTTGTCGCAGAGGACGAGAAGCAGTGGCAACGGCAGTGGCGCCGGCGGCAAGCGCGAGGAGGTGCGAGCCAGGGAGCCGGGGCGCGCGCCTGCAGGTCCAGGTTGCGCTGCTGCTTGGCGTCCAGGCTCTGGAAGAAAGCCGCCGACTCCGCCCGCGCCTCCCTCGCCATCCTCAGCGACTCCTGCAGCAGGTGGACGGCAGCCGGCGGGTGCTCGGGAGTGGAGACCAGCAGAAGCTGGGCTGGAGATCAGGGCCAGAGGGGCACCCTGATCAGCGCCCCGATCTGCGGGTGCAGCATGAGCGGCATCAGCGCAGTGGCAGGCAGCCAGGCAGGCCAGGTGGCTGCACCTCTTCCAGCTCCTGCTGCTGGTGCAGCAGACCCAGCGCCGCCTCCGCCTTGGCCTGCAGGGCCGCCGTGTCCTTGCCCAGCTGCCCCGTGGTCCGCGCCACCAGCGCCAGCTGGTCCCGCGCGTACCCCGCCCCTTCCGCCAGCCTGTCCAGCATGTTTTCTGTGTACCGCTCAAAGTTCTGGTTCTGGATGTACAGGCACATGCTGCGGGGAGGACAGCGGCACGCCGGCGGGGTGAAGCGTGGTGCAGCAGGATGCCGGCAGTGTGAGTTGGTCTGAACGCCGACTACCCCTTGTGAGACTTGAGCGGCGCGGCCAAGAGGCGCCAGGGATAGCAGCAGCGCAGCCCTCCCATCGCATGCACAACAGGTACCTGTCGGCGTGTGTGAGGAACTCCACAAAGAGTGCATGTGCGCGGTCGGACAGCCCCTCGGTGCACTCCTTGATGGTGTGGCGGCGGTGGCAGGGGTACGTCTGCGCCTGCTGCACCTGCAGCTGGCAGTTCATGAGGCTGAGCGCCAGCCGCGTCTTGGCCTCCTGCTCCATGCGCCGGCAGTCGGCGGTGAGCTGTGCCACCGCCTGCGAGAAGCAGTTGGTGCCCAGCACGCGGTCCAGGAAGCCCTCGGTGCCAGCACCCTGCTGCAGGCTGTCCAGGTGGCCTGCAGGCGACCAGGGGATGGTGGTCAGCTACGTTGAGCGAGCGAGTCTTGAAGTGCGGCAGGGCCACATAGCGGGGGCCCCGTGCCTGCCCAGCTCCTGCCCTGCCACCCGCTCCCACGCCCGCATCACCCGCGCCCCGCACCTCGGCCCTCGCGTGCCTGCGCCGCAGGCACCACCGCAAACCTAGGGGCAGCCGCTGCAGGGGCCCACCCTCCCCATGCCGAGGCGCCCGGGCTTAGCAGCAGCGCCGGAAGGAGGAGCAGCGGCAAAGGGCGCTGCCAGGGGCGCCCCATGGCGTCAGGGGGTGAAGCGGTGCGCCGTCTCGGGCAGTCTCGAGGGTCAAGTCCAAGACGGCGGCGACCGTCAGCTATGGCGATCGGGCATTACCGCGATCAAGATCACCCATCAGGCTTGCCTGCGCAGGAGGAGCGCCGCTTCGCGTGGGCTTTCGGTACTGCCTGTACTGGGCTGTTTTGAGTTTTTCTTTCGCTCTGCGCTGATTCTCCACCCAGCTTGTGGTCTCAGCGGGCGCCGGACACTTCTCAGTCGGACATGCAGCAGCAGCGGGAGGCAGCCTGACACAGTCGGGCGGTTTGCGGCTTTCCCGGCGAGCACAGGCACCTGCCACCCCGGCTGAGGTCTGAAGCGATGAGCAACACCCTGAACACGGTTCTGGAGCGCCTGCGGGCCTTTGGCAATGACAAACTGGCGGAGCTCGATTCACGGGCAGAGGCTCACAGGGGATGGCTGAGAACAGCAGTGGAGGAGGTGGCCCAGCAGATAGCCGCCCTGGCGCCCGCCTCAAAGAAGCAGCGGCTGAATGGGCGGGGTGCTGCCAAGGTCACGGCGGCAGAGGAGCAGGTGTGCGCGCCGCCGCCGCCTGGGCTGTCGCTGCCTGTGTCTTGCGCTTGTTGCGCCCAAACCCTGTCTGTCGATCCCCTCGTGGTGCCCCTCACCATGTTCCACGGCTTTCTTCTCTCCCTGCTTGCAGCCGGCTGAACCAACACGGGCCAGAAAGGGGCGGGGCAAAGCCGCCGCCGAGGAGCAGCTGGAGGAGCCCGCGGCCGAGCATGCTGATCAAGCAGAGCCGGAAGTGGTGGCCCCAGCAGAGGAGCAGCCGGAGAAGCCTGCAGCCCGCGGCGGCAGGCGTGGCAGGAAGCAGCAGCAGCAGGAGGAGGGAGCGCCACCTGCCGAGGAGCAGGCTGCACCTGAGCCCACAGGTGAGGCAGCCACCATGGCTGTTGGAACCTGCTCCCCGCCATTCCTGGATGCTGCTCCTCAGAAGCTTGGACCTTCTGTATTTTAATCGTGGCACTGCTCCTGTGTGCCGATGCAGAGCTGGAGCCTGCGGAGGAGAAGCAGCCCGCAAAGCCGGCGCCCCGGGGTGGCAGGCGGGGCAAGAAGCAGCCGCAGCCGGAAGCGTCAGCCGAGGAGCAGCCTGCTGAGGAGGCTGCAGGTGAGAGAGGCACCAGCCACTGCGTTCTCTGCTTTCAGTGCATGTGTTGCTTCTGCAAACTGCAAAGCGGATGCTGGTTGAGCGTGAGCCAAACCGACAGTCTGCTGTGCTGCGCTTGCAGAGGCAGAGCAAGAAGCGGTTGTGGAGCAGCAGGCCAAGCCAGCAGCCCGTGGCGGCAGGCGGGGCAAGCAGCATCAGGAGGAGGCAGCCGCTGAAGAGCCTGCGCCGGAGCAGCCGGCCGCGGCAGCAGCTCGAACCTCGCGCGCCCGCCGCAAGCAGCCGGCAGAGGCCCCAGCGGAGGAGCCATCTGAGGCTGCTGCTGCATTAGAGACCGCAGAGGGCGCCGCAAGTGGCCGCAGCACCCGCACCCGCCGCGGCCCCAAGATGCCAGCTGCGGATGTGGCTGAGGCACCAGCTGCAGCAGCTGGGGCCGCTCGCAGCCGCCGCGGAGCCCGGGCGACTGCCGCCTCTGCGGAGCCAGAGCCAGCGGTCAGCGAGGAGCCATCAGCGCGGCAGGAGCAAGCACAGGAGGCAGAGCAGCAGCAGCCAGCTGCGAAGAGGGGCAGGGGACGCAAGGCAGGACCGGGGCGCAAGCGCAAAAATGAGGAGGCGGAGCCCTCCGCGCAGCCTTCCGACGGCCTGCAGACTTCTACCCACAGCCGGCGGGGCGGCAAGGCCGGCAAGGCAGCCTCCACCGCCGGGGCTGAGGAGCCTGACACAGAGATTGCTTCTGCGCCAGCGATGGCTGAGGAGGCGACTGCTGATGCAGGCATGGGCGATGCAGCTGCTGACAGCCTGCCGCGGCCAGAGGAGCAGGCTGCTACAGTGCCAGCAGCAGAGGAGAGCTCAGATGCTGCCATGGTAGACGTGGCTGAGGCAGATTCGGCAGCTGCTGCCGATGAGCACGGCGCGTCGCCTGGGCCTGAGCCGGAGGCATCACCTGCGGCAGCACAGGCAGGAGTTGTTGGCAGCGGGGAGCTGGCGGAGCAGGCATCGCCGGCCGCTCCCATCCCAGCAGATGCCGAGGTGCCAGAGGCGGTGCCTGCGGCAGCAGTGCCAGAGGAGTCACCGGCTGTAGAGGCTGCGCTGGGTAGTGCGGATGAGGCTGCCGCTGTTGGCGAGGAGAGGCAGCAGCATCAGCCCCGCCCCTCTTCCGCCGGCTACCAGACAGCTGGCTCTGTGCCAGATGAGCATGATGACGAGGAGGACGCAGCAGCAGCAGCGGGCGCTGCTGCCGACAAGGCAGCAGCTGCAGCGTTGCCAGCAGTCGAGGAGGAGGCAGACCGGCCCAGCGGCGCTGCCGGCATGGCAGAGCAGCAGGCAGCCACGGGTGCGGCGGAGGAGGAGGTTGAGGAGGAGGGGACTGCAGGGGCTGAGGAGGAGCAGGGCACGGCAGCGGCGAGCAGCGGGGCAGAGGACGCGCAGCCGGCTGCTGCTGCGGCAGCCAGCGGCGCAGGCGGCGGCATCACAGCCAACCTGGTCGCCTCCATCCGCTCCTTCCTGCCCATGGCAAAGCCCGCGCCGCCCGCACCCACTGCCGGCGCCAGGAAGCCGCCGCAAAAGGTGAGGGCTGGTGGCGTGGCCGGAGGCGCACCCCCCCACCCTGACGGTCGTTGCTCTGACCCTGCCTGTGCCCAACAACCCCTGCAGCTCAAGGCGCTGGAGGCGGCCGATGCAGCGCGCCGCAAGGAGGCGGAGCGGCAGGCGGAGCGGCAGCGCCAGAAGGCGGAGGTGGAGCGGCAGCGCCAGGAGCGCGTCAAGGTGAGGCTTCCATCCACCAGAGTGGAGGTGGTCTGTCGCTTGCTAGGCAGTTAAGCTTGCTAGGCAGTTAAGCCATGGCAGCTATGCGGAGGCATGCGCCTGCGTTGCTTCCTGTCTGCTGCGGGGAGCAGCTTACCAGTCGCACGCCCAGCCCTGCCACCCGCCTCGCTGTGTGCAGGCTAAGCAGGAGGACGAGGCGCGGCGAGTGGCCGAGGAGGCCAAGCGCAAGGAGGAGGCGCGGCTGAAGCGGGAGCAGGAGGCGGCCCAGCGCAGGTATGCAGCCTGGCCGGGCCTGGCTGCTCTCCCGCCCTGGACTGGCTAGGGCTTCGCCGTGCTGCAAGCTCGCCTCGTCGTGTTCAGGCCCTGCACACCACTGCTGACGCCCTTCCCCACTATGCCCGCTGCCGCAGGAAGGAGCAGCAGGAGGCTGAGCGGCGCGAGCGGGAGGAGAAGCAGCGGCGCATGGAGGAGATGCGGCGCCGCAAGGAGGAGGCAGCCGCCGCGGCAGCAGCCGCAGCCGCAGCTCCCAAGCCGGCCGCCAAGCCTCCTGCCGCGCTCGCCGCTGCGGCAGCAGCGGCGGCGGCATCGGGGTGTTCCCTCCCCTCGGCAGCGGGCGAGAACCGGCCGCTGAACAGCAGCGTGCCCACCACGCTGGCGGAGGCCAAGCAGCGGCTGCAGCGCATCCAGGAGGCCGCCATCCAGCAGGCGGCGCAGCAGCAGGGCGGCGGCGGCGGCGGCGGCGGCGGCGGCGGCGGCGGCAACGCCTCCGGCCACTCTGTCAGCAGCAAGCCCCTGGAGCTGAAGCCGCTGGCGCTGGGCAGTGGCAAGCCGCCGGCGGGGCCCAGCGGCAGCCAGCCCGGCGCCGGTGCGGGGCCCAAGTTTGGCGTGCCCGCTGCGCTGCCCGCCGCGCCTGCTGCTGCCAGCACCGCCACCACCACCGCTCGCGCGGGCAGCCAGGAGCCTGGCGGGCCGCAGACGTACGAGATCTCGCCCTACAAGTGAGCTCTGGGGTGCCGGGGCGGGCAGCCGGGCGGCTGTTGGTTTGGCCACCGCCAGGTGCATGGCCGCTGCCCCTGGTGAGGCACCCTTTGCATCGCCACCCCTCACCCCATGCTTGATGTTAACCCTGGCGGCTCTCCCTGCGCAGGAGCGACCACGACTCCGAGGACGACCAGCCCAAGAAGCCGGTGCCGGAGTGGGCACGCGGCAGCCAGCTGCGGGCGCAGCTGGTGGCGCAGGTGCGCGGCGGGAGGAGCGGATGGTTGTTGGTTTATTTATTTTTTGTTTTGTTCCAGGCCGTCGCGTCAGCCTCGGTAGCAAAGGAGGCGGGGCTGCATGCGCATCACAGGGTCCCCGCCAGCCTGTCTGCTGTGGCCCATGCCGCTCTGCTCTGCCGCCGCCTCACGCCGCCGCAGACGTACGTGGACCCCGACGAAATATTCCAGCAGCACCAGAAGACCTGCTCCCTGGATGAGGTGTTTGCCAACGGTGCGTGCCGCTGCTGGCTGCTGCCTGGCAGCAGACAGCATGCACACGTGCCAGCCACAGCGCGCGCGCGCCACCCACCCCGGTGCTGCCGCCGCGCCCTCCCCGCCCGCGTGCAGGCAAGAGCAAGCAGGACCTGTCGCGGCGCACCAGCAGCGGCAACTGGATTGAGGACAGGGTGACGTGGAAGGAGGAGATGAGCTACAAGCGGGCTATGGGCTTCCTGTGAGCGCCACGGGACGGCATCATTGGCTAGCTGGCTGGGGCCGCGCCCTTCACCCATGCAGGCCCATGCCCCTGCCACCACGCCCCGCCTTGCCTGCCCGGCTGTAGCTCCTCGCTCCCCTCATTGATTTACTGTTCAGTACGGCCCCATTCGCTTGCCTGCCCGCGTGGCAGCGCCTTTTGGCCGCCCTCTGCAATGGCTGCTTGCCAAAGTGGGAGCATTGCCAGGAAGTGAATTAATACAGGATCAGATTCAGATGATTATCAGTGGTTGGTTGCACAGAAGTATGATACACAAGGGGAGGAGATGGATGTGGATTGAGTGGAAACGAGGGTCACGCGTGTGCCACAGACAGCCTAGCAGGGCGGGGGCGGCCCTCGCGCTTGCAGCAGCTGCTGCATGTGTTGCACAGCCGCCAGCACTTCATCCATCCTGGCCGACAGCTGCGCTGCATCTTGCTGCCGCTCTGGCTGCTGCTGCTGCAGCGGTGGCGGCGGGTACGACGCTGGTGCCGGCGGGTAGTCGGGTGGGGAGGTGGAGGGCAGGGCCCAGCTCACCCTGTGCGTGTGTGCCGCCTGGTGGTCGCCACCTGGCGCCGCCGCTCCCAGCGCGCTATCCATCCGCTGCCCCTCCACATCCGCCGCCGGGCACTCGCCGCCCTGCGGCGCCTCCTTGGCGCCGCTGCCGACCGCGCCGGCCCGCCCCGGCAGCGTGCCGCCGCCCCTGACCTGGCGCGTGCCTCGCAGGGTCTGCACGCGGCGCACACTGGACTGGAAGGCCTGGGTGCGGGCCACGCGCCGTGCGCTGTGCAGCGCCAGCTGGCTGACGATGACCAGCAGCAGGGCCATGCCCACGCTGCAGGCCAGCAGGATCCACAGCCCAGCCACCTCCTTGAAGGTGACCTTGCTGGACTCCGACACGCCGCGCGACTTGCAGGCGGCCTCGGGCGGCGTCACATACTGGTCCACCAGCGCCTCCATGTCGCCTGCAGGCGCGGGCAGGGCGGCGCGCGCGGGTGGGGTGCCGCGTGGCTGCCTGCTGGGCAGCGCTCACAACGCTCCCACCACCACACCCCTGTTTCAATGCCAGCTTTGCAGAAGGGCAACATGCGACGCAGCGGCCCGCCCCCTCGCTCCAAACCAGCACAGGCCAACCGCGCCAACCGCCCCACCAGCCACCTCCCTCCCCCTCCTCCCGCACCCCGCTCACCGGCCTGCTTGAGCTGCACCAGCGCCTTGTTGTAATCCTTTACTACTGGCGAGTCGACGTCAAAGGCGGAGCTGAAGGCCACGGCCTGGTCGTACTGCTCCCACACGTTGCCCACTACGCGCACATCGCAGCGCTGCACAGCGCAGCGCAGCGCAGCACAGCACAGCAAGGCACAGGCAGGTCAGGTCGGGTGGCCTGTGTGGGCAGGGGCGGGAGCCGGGCGCCTCGTTGCTGGAGCTCCCGCCCTCCCCTGGCCTAGCCCTCACCCATGCAGGCACCGTCGCCTGGCCTGCCGGCCGCACAGCATCGGTGCAGGGCTGGGGCTGCCACGCGCCTCCTGCCTTCCAGCCCACTCACCGAGGCGGCATTCCAGTCAAGCACATACAAGTCCAGGACGAGGGCATCAACCTCTCGGTTCTGCAACCAAGCCACCCAGGCCGGGTTCAGCCACAGGCGCACCCTCCCTCCCTCAGAGACCCCTTCATGCCGGCCAGCCAGGCCCCGGCCCAACCGCATGCCGCAGCCTGGCGGGGCCCCCAGGCCGCACAACAGTGCGCGCCGCCAGCGCCCGCACCCGGGCCAGCCCCCCGCCCCACCCCCCCGCCGCCGTCACACAACACGCTGCGCCAGCCCGGCCCAGGCCACGCACCGCGACCGCGTCAAACATGGCCTGCTCATCCTGGGCGTCTGCCCAGGGGTAGGCCTTTGGGATGATGCCTCGCTTCTCCAGGTCGTTCATGTACACATCATCCTCCCTGCACACGCATGCCGGCGGCCCCGGGGTACTATGGGCCGCAGGGGCGGCAGGGGGCAGGCCGCAGGGGCAGCAGGGGGCAGGCGGGCGGGCAACATCCTCCATGCTCCCTCCTCGATGCCCAGGGGACAGCCAGATGATCCCGGCATGGCCTGATGCGCAGCCAGGCCCCCCGCTGGTGCTCACCACGTGCCCACCCGCTTGCCGGGCAGGTCCTCCACGCTTCGGATGTTGGTGCTGAGCCGCGTGGCGGTCAGGTTGGCGGCTGTGTTGGCTGTGTACAGGGTCACCAGGATCAGCATCATGAAGGCAAAGATCATGATGATCAGGTTGCCGGCAAAGTTGCGGGAGGTCATTTCGGTGGTCTGCGTGGTGTGGTGCGGAGCGGGAGGCAGTATGGGCAAGATGCAGGGCAGAGAATGGGCTGGTGGCGGCGCAGCTACGCAAGCACAAGCACCCGCCCACCCCACACGCGCTCGCATGCATGTACCTGCATCGGCCGTCCCAGCGCCGTCCACACTTGCTTCTGCAGGCTGGGGGGCGGCGGCGCGCCTGGGGGCGGGCGCCGCAGGTTGGCCCACCGCTCCACCGCCCAGACGATGCAGCCCATGGCCACCATGGTGCAGATGATGGCCTGCGCACCGGCACGGTGGCAGGCAGGAGGTGGAGTGGAGGGCCGGGGCATGGCGAGGACGGCACGGGGGCCGGTCGGGCAGGGGGCAGGGCCTGATGTACACATGCTGCTGTGATGTACACGTGCTGGTATGATGAGTGCCACAAGCGTGCCAGGCCTCACCACCCACAGCTCCCAGGAGAATGCGTCCATGAAGGCCCAGGTGTCCACGCTGGACTCCTCGGCCGGCACCAGGATGCGGTAGCCGCCGGTGCTGCACGCGTGCGGCATTGGCGACACGGGTGGGGCAAGGCCTGGGGCGGGGCCACGCGTGGGCCCGCCCTCCTGCCTCCCTCGACAACAGAGCCAGCAGCCTGCGCCGCGGGCTGGGCGGCGGCGCCCACCTGAGCGTCGGGAAGGTGAAGATGATTCCCTGCAGCATGTAGTCCTCGGCGATGTCCACCCCCGCCACCGCCAGGTCGCACACGCCGTCCCCCGCGGCCAGCGACGCCATCATCGCCTCCCAGGCCATGCACGTCAGGTTCACCCGCTCCTGCTCCCACCCCAGCTGCCGCCGCACGCGGTGGAACACCTCGATCTCGTACCCGCTGTACTGCTCGGGGTCGCGGCCCTGGCAGAACACGACTGCGGGCAGGCAGCAGCACAGGATGCTGGCGGGGATGGAGGGGGGACAAGGGCAGGGGACGAGGGTGTGGCGGGGCCGCCTCGCCGTGCCGCCAGCCTCGCTCACTGGGAGAGTACTCGGAAGTGCAGACGTTGATGGTGCCTCCACCAAGGTCCGGAGCATTGACGTCCAGCACCGCCGATCGTGCCAGCGGAAGGGGGAGGCACGCCGCCAGCAGCAGCACCGCGCCCAGCCAGGCGGCGTGGCCCCAGGCCATGGCGGCGGCGCGTCCCGGCGCACTCCTGCGCCGCACTCTGCAGGGCCGCGAGTGACCCAACAGTGATCTAAAGCAGATGGTGGGCTAGAGGGAGGCGCCAGAGGGCCGCGCAGGGCAGGGCAGGGTGGACGGGAAGCCCCCACACTGGGCCTCTGTGGTCAGGTGGCACCAAACATGACATGGATAGGGGCAGAGATCGACGAGGAGGTGCAAGGCGAGTGGTTTCACGCTCCGCCAGCAGGTACCCTGCACATGGGCAGGACAACCCCACCACACCTGGCTGGACAATGCGAGCTGGCCAGGAATGCTCGTGTTCTGGATCGACCACGTCGTCCATTTCATGCATACACCCCGCCTCCCCCGTGCATGAAGCTGCTCGCGGAGCACTGAGATGAGACCCTGCACGAGCGCTCGAGACGCACACTTGGCAGAGCTGCCCAAGGGTGGAAGAGCTCTGCGCGTCTGGACAGAGCTGCACCATGCGGTCAGATCTCCATCCATGCCATCAATGGACCACACAGGGGGTGCATGATGGGGCACTGCATCCACAGGGAACGCAGGGCGGTGCCACCGGCGGTGGCGGGCGGCTGAGGTGACGGTCAACCACTTGACCAGTTGGAGCTGAAGATGTGCTGATCAGCGCCTTGCGTGGCCCCACTGATCATGCAGCGCCCGCGGAAAGCGCGAAAGCCACACCCCGACTTTGAGGCGCCACTCTGGACCGATGAGAGCGAGGCTTTTTGTTATGTTCTGCGCATCGCGTGAAGCTTACCGAACAGTATTTGCGAGCGCTCCCGCCCGAGTTTTGGCGCCCGCGGAAAGGTGCACCGTGTGGCTGGCAGCCCCGCTGGCCAAATCGCCCGCCATCTGTGCCTGCAGCCCCCCAGGCAGCTCAACTCGCTTGCATAGCACATTGGTAACCCATTGAGCGCTCCTGGGCTCCAAACACGCCTCTGCCTCAAGACCCATCTCCTCCGAGCGGCGGCCTGGCAGCTGATTGGCGCTGCAAGATGGCGGCATGACAGTTGCACAGCCGGACCAGGAGGTCGGCAGCCGGCAAGCTGCACAGGCCCTGCTCCTCACTCCTGGCCTCGCGACGTCAGGTGCGTGCCCTGCGCTGTCGCCTGGGACCCAACGCCCGCGGGGACAGCATCCCGTAGATTGCAGTCCAGAGCGAGCCGCGCCACTTCCTTCCCAGCCTTCACCGCCGCCGCCACCCACCTGCGCCCCCCCACGGAGCCGTTGCAGGTGGCAGCAGCCCGCACTATGCCCTGAGCATGCCTGTCGGCACCAGCAGCATGGCCGGGTGCAGCCAGGGCGCGCTGCTGGGCAGCGACCTGCAGCAGGCGCTGTGCGACGGGCGCGAGGGGCGGGCGGCGGCAGCATGGGAGGGCTTGGAACGGCAGCTGGTGGCGGCGCAGGAGGGCCGCGCGCAGCTGCTGGTGCGCAGCGGCAGCGGCAGCGAGCCCGACGGCGGCGGCGGCGGCGGCGACGATGCCGAGGCCTGGCTGGATGTGTCGCTGACGGCGCTGCCAGGCGGGCGCTACGCGTGGGCCTGCGACGGCGCCGCCGCTGCCCAGCAGCAGCCTGCGCGGCACCAGCCCCTGCCAGAGGTGGAGGGGGCGGCGGCGCTGCGCATGCTGCCGCTGCCCGTGTGGGTGTGCGATGCCGCCGGGCGCGTGGCCTTTGCCAACCCCGCCTTCTGCCGGCTGGTTAGCTGCGACGAGGCGGCGGCGGCAGGCCGCCCGTGGATGCGCCTGCTGCAGCCGGCAGCCGGGGACGCCGCGGCGGTGCAGCGCCTGGAGGCAGCAATAGCGGGCGGCAGGACCGCAGCAGAAGACATGGGCTGTGGCCGCGTCAGCGTCGCCGTGCTGCCGTCGCCCGGCGCGCGCGCCCCGCTGGCGCTGTGCACGCTGCTGGGCCCGGCGCCCGGCGCCGCCGCCGCCGCGCAGGCCTCGCCGCCGGCGGAGCGCAGCGCGCCGCCGCCGGCCGGCGAGGCCGCCGCGGGCGAGGCGGCGCCGCCGCCGCTGGCGCAGCTGTGCAACGCGGCGCTTGCGTCCACCAGCGAGAGCGTGGTCATCACAGACCCCACACAGCCGGGCAACCCAATCATCTACGCCAACAGGGCCTTCGAGAGGCTGACGGGTGCGTGCCGAGCGCAGCGGGGCGCCGGCGCCGGCAGGCGGGCCGCCGCCAGGGGGCCCCACCCTGCCCGCGCGCCGCCCACCGCGCCCCCTCCCCGCCGCTGCCCTGCCCGCAGGCTACAGCCAGGGGGCTGTGCTGGGGCGGGGCCACAGCTTCCTGCAGGGCCCCGACACCGACCCCGTGGTGCTGGCCGACATTGCGGCGGCGCTGGAGGAGGGACGCCCCATCGTGGCCGAGCTGCTGGTCTACCGCGCAGACGGCTCGCCCTTCTGGAGCCAGGTGCGGCAGGCGGGTCAGGGTGTGGGGCGTGGGTGTGTGTGGCAGGGGGCCTGCGGGGCATGCGTCCCGCTGGGCCCATCACGGCAGCACCCCTGCGCCGGGCTCCTCCCGGCATGGAGGCGCCTGCTTCATCTCGACTGCCGTGCCCCGCCCCCCACCCGCCACCACATGCGCTTCTGCTCACTCCTCGCTCCACCCCCGCCCCGCAGGTCTCCATCACCCCCATCCACGACGGCGGCGGCTCCGGCCGCGTGGCCAACTACGTGATGGTGCAGCGGGACGTGAGCCAGCGCAAGGCGGCGGAGGCGGCCTTCCACATGCGGGAGCAGGCGCTGAGGTGGGGCCCAGGGGTGGTGGTGGGGGTGATGCGTGTGGTGGTGGTTGGGGCTGGTTGTGTTGGCGCCGGGAGGAGCGCCACCAGCATCCAGCCACCATGGCGGCACCGGCGCCAAGGCTGGAGGGCTGCGCGGCCTGGCTGCCGCCTGGCTGCCGCCGCCGGCCAAGCCCTGGGCCAAGGCCGAGCAGCTGCGCACCTTCCCAGGCCCCCCACCCTGCTGTGCCGCTCACCGCCCCCCACCCCATGCGTGCCGCCCTCCCCTGGCGCAGCAACCTGAACGAGGGCATCACCATCTGCGACCCCTCCATGAAGGACTGCCCAGTGGTCTACTGCAACTCAGCCTTCCTCAGGTGTGTGTGGTGGGGGCAGGGGGGTGGCCGCTGGGCCCGGCGTGCGGCAGCACGGCGGCCTGGCCTGGCCTGGCCTGGTCTGGGTAGCATGGCATGGGAGGGGAGTGGTGGGGGCAGGGCCGGCTCCTGGCTTGCAGGGCCGCTTCCCCTTGCGCAGCCATCAACCCCCGCCGCATGCGGCGCACCCCTTGCTCACGCACCCCCTCCGCACATGCCGCCCCTCCCCTGCCTGCCCACCCGCTGCAGGATCACGGGGTACAGCCGCAAGGAGGTGATTGGGCGCAACTGCCGCTTCCTGCAGGGCCCCAAGACCGACATGGGCGTGGTGCAGCGGCTGGCCACCGCGCTGCACGAGGGGCGCGAGGTGACGGTGGACCTGCTCAACTACCGCAAGAACGGGGAGGAGTTTTACAACATGCTAAGGTGCGTGTGTGGGGGGCTTTGGGGGGTGGGGGCCGGCGTGGCTGGGGGCCGGGCGTGAGGCTGGTTGGCTCCAGGTGGCAGAGGCATGTGGGGCAGGCGGAGCCTGGGAGCTGGGCCAGGGAGCAGCGGGGAAGGCGGGGAGGCAGCTGCTGGTGGGAGCCATGTGCCCGCCGCAGTCCCTCGCCCACGCTCACGTGCTAACCTACGCTCCCCCCACCAACCCCACCACCCGCGCCGCAGCATCACCCCCGTGCGCGACGCCTCGGGCCGCCTGCTCAGCTTCATCGGCGTGCAGAGCGACGTGACGGAGCTGACGCTGCGGCGGCAGGCGGAGAAGGAGCTGGTGGAGGCCAAGGCGGCGGCGGAGACGGCGGCAGAGGCCAAGTCCATGTTCCTGGCCAACATGAGCCACGAGATACGCACCCCGCTCAACGGCATGATCGCCGTGGCGCAGGCGCGCGCATGCCGGCTGCCAGCTGTGCCTGCCGAAGGCTGGGGCGGGGCGCCGGGCGAGGAGGCGGTGGTGGCCGGGCGCCACCCGGGGGCTCGGCTTGCACACCCTGTTTGTTCCACGCCCCCTTGCATGCCCCCGCGTCCTC